TTCGAACGTTAGCCCTTCGTCGGAGTGAATGGCTCCGACGAAGGGCTAACGCTCAAAACGTCAGCTTTTATAACCGTAACGGTGGCCAATTTACCATTTCAACTTTGTTGATATATTCAAATTATTAGAAAGTTACCATTGAGGTGTTCATAAACAAAAGGCTTCTCTGGATATCACCACTTTACCTTTCAATTGCATGACATCTGTTTCTATTGAAAGACAAATTATGTTAAACAGATTGTTGCCTTTGTCTCCTGTGTCACAAACATCTTACGAAACAAGTATGATATTTTGGAGGGTTGTTAAGGTTCTTCTGAGTTTTGTAAGTGGTTAATGAAGCATGAAACGTATTTGGGAACCAAAGGTTGTGCTTTAAAATTGTGAGGTGGCAAATTATAAAAGGTTTACATCTTCAAATTTCTAGGAAGCTGAAACGGCTTTGGCTGAACTCAAAGAACAGGTGTGTGTCTGTCATCTTTGTATTTGTAACAGTTCTTCTATTTATTTTTAATGGTATTCTAGTTGACTTTTCTAAGAATATAGTTTTGTTCACCTGGTGGAACTTTCAATCAAATAATTTATGAAAAACTCATTCTGCATAGTTACCTTGTAATTCCATATTTGTTTGTGTAAGAAGTACATGATCATTCTTAAATCCCTTTCCTTGCAACTTCTTAATTTGCTTTGTATGGGCTACTAGATAGCCTGGGTACCTTAACTGCAGAACAGTACAGGAAAAAAAAAAACTCAACCTTTTTGCTTGAAGTTCATAGCTGCTATGAATGACAATCAATAGCTTCCATTTGTGTCTGTTTCAAGAAAAGAATTACCAAGAAAATGCACTGGAAATTTTCCTTGTCTCATTTTCCCAAGAGTTGTAAATTCACCCTGGTCTCAGGGCACATGCCAAATAACCATTTCAGGCTTGGGCTTCTGGAAAAAATTAAAGTTTTGTAGGTACTCACTGTTTTTGTTCTAGGGTGTTATCTGCTCTAATGAGGTAGTTTGATTTTAATTTGCTTGTTCTAAGGATTGAGAGTCTCTCCATTCTGTATGAAAGGTTGATACTGCATTGGGAGCTGAGGAAATGGTGGAAACTCTCACTGATAAGAACTTGAGCTTGGAAGAAGAAATTGTCACTCTAAGGGAGAATGTGGCTGACTTGGTTAGTGAAATTTATCCATGAGTACAATCACTGCACCTTAGAACTTTATTTTATTTCAACTGCATGAAAGCCTATCCAGTTTAAATCTAGTAGATGATAGCTTTTAAAGGCACCTCCTAATGAAAGCAGATTGAGTAAGTTTATTTAGTTTTTCTGTTGTAATCACAGTAATATGAAAATTATGCAATCCAATCATAGGAAGCTCTCAGAGATTTGAATGAAGAACTTGAGGAAAATCACCTTCAAACGGAACATGACCTACGAGAAGAACTGGAAATGAACAACAACAAAGTTCGTGAGGTAAAGCTATCTAAATTCTCACGTTCACACTTTAAAAGCTGTTTACACTTCAATGTCTTCCTGCCACAGTAAGATATTAAAAAGTAACTTGATGGGATTAGAAGTCATGGACTTAAAATTGTTGCTTTTAAAGTTGTAATTTAGCAAGTTTTTATTGTTATTGTTACATTACATTTTTCTTAGATGGAGCGTAAACTAGAGGCAGCTCAGGAAAGTATTGGAGATCATCAGCAAACGATTGTTAAGTTCAGAGACCTGGTGGCTAAACTTCAGGTATGGATGATCAATTTTGTTTTTGAAAGTTGATTGATTAAAATGTAGTAGTTGGGATCAAGAAACTTCTTTGTTATTACACGTTGTGAAGAGAAAGTTTTCATTAATTGCTGTGATAAAGCTTTACAAGATTTAAAGGAAAAATTAAATTAGTTGTTGTAATTGTTTTGTTGTCATTAGGAAAATAACCGAGCTATGCAGGTTCAGCAAGAAGACTCAGAGAAACAAAAAGTCATCGACATTCCTTCACCTGAAATGATTGACTTTAAAGTTAAGGCAGCTGAGTTGAAGACCTATACCAAGGTACCTGTATAAAACACTCAGGATACTATGCTGTTGTAAATGTTTAACTTGTATGTGTCTCAAAAGTTAAGTTTTTATGTAACTTTGTCTGTGTTTCTTGTTCTGAAACTTTTCTGTAAGGAGTAGCAAGATGGTTCTCCTATTGACTTTGAAATTTTGTAGAAGATCTTTGTTAGTTGTAATTGACTGGCATACATGTACTTTTACTAAACATGCACTGTTAAATGTATTTTATGCATATTTTTTCAGACCGTGGAGAATGAATTAAGAAAGTTTGATCTGCAGCAGGCAAATGAAAAGATAAAAATGCTTCACTCATTCCTGCCTGAGTCATTCTTAAGGAGAGGGGGTGAGATGTGATCTAGTTATAATGATTTTCTTTAGTAAGTGAAAGAAAACAAAGCAAATTCATTTGAACTGTTCTAAATAAGGAATGAATGGTAGGAATCCCATCACAGTTTGTGTCATGTACTGTATACTGCATGTACATGTAATTCCTGTGGAAATTTATTCTTGCAAGGTGCACTATATGATCATCTCACCTTGTATTAGCAGTGCAGTGCTGTCACCCACTGGGCTGGCAATTAATCCTAATTTGGAGTTGTTTACATCTTTCGTATGATTTCTGGGTGGTGAATAATACTGCAACAAGAACTTTATATGGACTGCTGTTATTTGGGTAATCGTGAAGAACAGCGCACCTCTACTGACTTGTGGCCAACTGTTGGCCAACTGTCAGTTGATGGTCAGTTGTCTGTCAGCTGACAGGTTTTGTTTTCTGAGAGTGGTTTTCTCCTATAACATTTATTTGAAACCTTCAGTTATCAAGTACATCAAAAGACCAGAATGCAAGAGAGCCTGCCATTTTTCCATCTATGTGCCATTACTTTTTACTCCATTCCTAATTGAAAACTAGTTTCTGGGGTCAATTTGTTTTTCTGTTGATAAGGAACTTTATGCTTTACTTAGCCATTGATGCAGCACAGTTTCTTTAGGAAATTGTTATGCTGTTGCTCTTCTCTTGTATAGTCTTGGTACTACAGTACATGTACATGTAGATATTTTGAATGGGCGTTGGTTTTTAATTCCACGAGGAAGTTTCAAGTGTTATTGACATCTTTACCTCCAAAAAATCACATTTTAAAATGTGTTAACACGTTATATTCTGTTGCAGGTGACAATGAAAGTGTCTTATTGCTGCTACTCATTCCACGTCTGAGTTTCAAGACTGAATTGTTGCATTCTCAGTTAAGACAAAAGGTGAGACAAGCAATTGATAGATTAGTGAAATTCGTTCAGTTTATCCAAATTTTATTTCTTTGATAAACATTGAATTATGTCATGTTGGAGATATCTTGTATGTGAATCAATATGTACTCAAGCTGATCAAATTAC